ATGGAGATTGTTTATAGACAGTTCAACATTGAGTTAAAGGCAGTGTTATTGCATATTGGAAATATTTTACCATCTCTTCCTGTAGGGTATGCAGTTCACATGAAAGAATCATATGACAATATGAAGTACCTATTGACATGCATAAAATACGATGAGCACCAATCGCATATTTGTGGCGATTTGAAAGTTGTTGCACTTTTACTTGGGCTGCAGCTAGGCTACACAAAGTTTTGCTGTTTTTGTGTGAATGGGACAGTCGGGCAAAGGCACTTCATTACACCAGACAAAACTGGCATGTTCGTCAATTCCTAGAGCCAGGTCAAAAAAATGTACAGCATATGCCATTAGTAGATTCGAAAAAAAATTTATTACCACCACTGCATATCAAGTTGGGCCTAATGAAAAACTTTGTCAAGGCATTAGATAGAGATGGGTCAGCTTTTCAATACCTGCGTCAGAAATATCCAAGACTAAGTGAGGCAAAGGTTAAAGAAGATATTTTTGTTGGGCCACAGATTCGAAATATTTTGAAAGATACACAGATTGAAAACACCTTAACAGTTATTGAAAAAACTGCTTGGAATGATTTTCATCTGGTGGTCACTAATTTCTTGGGAAATAGAAAAGCTGACAACTATAAAACCCTTATCAAAAATATGCTGTCATCGTATCAAAAAATGGGCTGTAATATGTCTCTTAAGATACATTTCCTACACTCACACCTGGACTTTTTTCCTGACAATTGCGGAGCCGTAAGTGATGAGCACGGCGAACGTTTTCATCAGGATATTTCAATAATGGAAAAAAGGTACCAGGGAAAGTGGAATCCTTCCATGCTTGCAGACTACTGTTGGACTCTTGGTAGAGATGCTCCAGAAACGATCCATAAAAGAACAGCAAAAAGACAGCGCATATAGTGATTCTTATAAGTATATGAATCTTGTTACATTTTTTAATATATCCTTAAAAATAAAAAGTTTTTTTTCTAAACCGCAACTAATTTTTTTATTTCATTGTCATTTTTGGATTCAGCGCCCCAAAATTAACAAAGAAGTGCACTTTTCCCACAAGATGCAATTAAAAAACTAAAATTTGTTGTCCAGTGTAATTATTTGACCTGGATTTATTTTGTTTTATTTATTTTACTATTTTATTATAAAAATGTTACATTACACATTATTTAAGAGTGGTGCATATGGATATTAAGTTATCTAGGTACCACATAAGAAAAACTATACATGATTTATTTTTGTCTAATATATAAAACCACTGTATATATCGCCACCACTTTGTAATATATTTTATTGTACTATATTGTATTTTTCAAAAAGTTGTCCCCCTCGGCAACACTCTGTATATTTTTTATGCTAGATACTGGTGCGGGGTATTATTGAGTTCTAAATCCACCTTCGGTGTAAAATTTTTAAAGAGTTCATTGTACGATCGATCACTATGTTCAGATATTTACCAGATAAGTTAAAAGTCTTTCAATTTCCTTCTAATCGGTTGACAGACTAGCTTCATTTACCCGGTTTTATAGCCTGCCGTTACAATGTAATAAATCCGCCCTCGCGATTGTCTATGACGCACCTTAAACTAGATATTACGAGTGCTCTGCAAAAAATAGAGGCCTTGTTTTGGAAGAATTATTATAATAACATGCTTCGAAATTTGGTCAACGTGGAAAGAGCATCTTTTTGAAAACACGAATGTTGTTCCAAGCACATGGATATTTTTAATTGAAAAAACAAATTCACCGTTGGAAACGTTTGTCTTCAAGATATCTTTCTCCATAGTTGTTATTCTTTTCTACGCATATTTTTAGACATGAGATATGAGATCCACTTTTTCACGTCCGCTGCCAGCCCGTTTAGAAGCTTGGTCACTGCTTCGTCTCGAACCGTTGACCGCCTAGGTGCTCATTGGACAATGATTTCCTAGCCGAATCTCTCGACTAAGTCCTTCGTTTGTTGTGAAACATGAGAATGCGCATTGTTATGGTGGTCTTATGCTTTGACTTGCTCAATCCTCGCCACAACTCCTCGGTGATCTGCGACCTCCTGCACCATTGCTCATCGTGGATGTCCGTACGCTGTCAGAGCACTCTCTTCAATTGACGTTGGTTTTCTATGGGCGGCAACGTTTTTGAGTGCAAAAGCTGACCGCACGAATTTTGCACCTGGCGGTGACGGCGATGACAGACTTCATTGCGCCTGGCTGTCGGGTCGGCCCTTACTTTTGCGACAACCCTCGTATACACAAAAGGTGAATAACGAATAGATGTGAACCCGCATGAAGGTTGGATTCAAGAGTTTATGTTAAACATTGAAAATAATGTTTTTACTTATAGTGTATTTACACCCAAGATAGAATGGATGCGTGATTGCCAAAAGCAAGGACCGCGTACAGGGCCGCATTCAGGGCTACCTCCGAATGATGGACTCCCACCAACGTGTTGTAAAACAAAGATGACAGTATTTAACAGAAACAGAAACTTAACAAATTACTCAAATACACTTAACAACAACAGCAGCAACAACCAAGCAAGGTGAATACGAAAACACGAGCACGCAGTGATACACGCGACGGACGGTGGCCTGAGTGCAACTCTGCCTGCCCTGCCCCTGCCCCGCGCATTATTCCGCCAGGCGGCAGCTTGAAATTTAATGGCGAATTGACCAATAAGAGGCGTTGCCCCACCTGTTACCGAGAGATCACGCGCTAACTGTTATTATTTACATCTCATCTTGAATTTGGATTCAGTCACAGCCGACGTCAAGTACGAGCCGTGATGAAAGAAAGGCAACACCGCGCTCGGACGGCATGGTAGTGCTACCTGTGAACGTCGGCCGCCAGCGGCTGTGTGCTCCGTCTCGTGTAACGTTCAAGAACTAAATTTAATTTTGGAAAAGAGGTCAGTTCGATTCGATAAAAATCGTCTGAATATGAAATAGCTCTAAAAAATTTAAAAATACGAAATAATCGTGATATATATGAGTCGCTAATGCAGTTAACCTAATTAAAAGTATTTAGTTTACGTTTTTTGGTGTCAGCACACAGTGTTCCAACAGGCCCAGCTGGGAATTGTGGAGTTACCTGTTTGTTTTTAATACATTTACTTTCAGTTTTACTGTTATTTTTCAATTTTACATAATCATTCAAAATTATGTTTTAAAAAATATGTTAGATAAAATATCTGCATAATTGCGGCCACAGATGCAAGTTAAAGAAAATTCACTGTATATAAAGTCAGACTGAATGCTGAGCAAGGTTAACTGCCACAAAATAAATTTTTGATTATTGCTTTTCAAGAAGAAAATTTCCAATCTATCTACATTAATAATAGATTCAAAAATGGCATACGTATGGTAGAATATGATTGGTACATAACGGGTTGGAATTGACAGTCCTCCTCTTTGCAAATGATCAAAATAAACATTTGTTGTTAATGAACCTTTTTCTTTAACTATTAGCGATTTGCATATCTCGCAGTTTAGGTTTTTAGAGATAGCGTGTGAAGCATATCCAGATATATATGTCTTAGTACTATCCTCTATGTCACAATTGGCTAAGTAATTTGTCTCAAATACTTCATTGAATATATCCAAAACTTCAGGATTTTGTTTGGTATCCAAGAAATCAAAATTTTCTTGAGTTTCTAAGCAGTTTTGGAACCTTGTTTTAATTTCTGCTAAAGAAAAAATAAAAATTTAAACCCCCATTTGCGGGGTTTATTTTAGATATACTGCTTCAAGTTGCCCACATATGTGCCTTTGTAAGACACCATTGTTCCACCAATTGAGTATTAATCTTCAAACTGGAGTTTATAACAGTTCTTGCGTACAATTTCTAATAAGGGTCTAATTTTGAAATATCGATACTTTGTCTGGTCTGTTATGTTAGTATTATCATTGAAATGGATAAACCGTCTTAGTTTCTGAAACCTCTTCAGAGGCATTATATTGGCCACGTGATCTATTCTTGTACTAGCTGCCCAAAAATCTTCTATGGCAGGAAGTTTTATTACACCCATAATCAAGATATAGATAGAAAATCCGTTATTTCTGCCCAAGTTGCTGAGTACTATAAAGATTTGTCTGATAGACTATTTTATCCATTAGATCAAATGAAAAAACTTTGTAAAATACTAAATAGGAACTGCAATGTTGTAAGGTTCAGGAAAGTCTGGTGAAGGTATGTTAGCAGAAACTGTCGGCTTCAATCCAAGAATATGATTCAGTTTTTCGTCTTTGTGGTGGTGGCGGCTCAGTTTCATCGTCACTTTCTTCGAATTCAGAATTACTTTTTGGAACCAGCATGTCAAGTCCTGGAAGCACTTCTTCTTCATCGTTAATCTTATTTGTTTGGGAAATATTTTCTCCGTCACTGAAATCGTCGTCTGAGACATCGGAAATATGCGGATCTGTGGGAATTACGGTCGGTGCCTTCTTTTTGCCGAAAAAACATGTAGTGCTTAAGGTTGGAAAATTATCCTGATCGGAAGACTGAAAAAGAAAACGTAATTATTCTGGCAAAGTTGCTTGAGAGATACATACTAAAAAAAGTCATTTTCCTGCTTTATTTTCTGATCCATCGCTTAAAAATAATCATAAACATAAAGACTCAACCTTCTTTTATACCAACCAAGGCTAATAGAACATAAAAACAAATTATTACTTACCATTTGCAACTAAAATCCCAACTACAGATTCATACGTGCACCAAACACCTGTTACGCGGCAACCATATGGAAAATTTTGACTCAACTTTTTATAAACAGAGGTCGCTCATAATATTATTTCTGTTAATGAATAATGTAGCTTACGAGCAACACTGCCCAATCAGACCGTTAGAGCAGGAAGGACGAGAAATTGAGGTTTAAAGATGATGTTTCCTACAGGCTACAGCACCAGATACAGGGTTAAAGATACCCTCACAGGGAACACTTTCGACGTGAAACTTCAACACCTGAGAATTCTCCCTGTCTTCCTTTATTTCAGGTTGAACGACTGATATGGATCATACTCTGATCAGCTGGGCGACCTTACATCAATAAACTCGTGTCAATTTTACTAAATAATTAAAAAATAAAAAACCTATTACCTACAAATTAGGAATGACACATCGCATACAAAACATTTTCGCACTGCCTTACATCTAGGCGTGGATTTGTATTTCCTGCTTGACCTCGTAAAATAAATTTCTATAAAATTTGAATGACTGGAAATAAAAATTAATGTGAAATGTAATAGCCTTTTTACGATTCATATATATTCCTGTATGTACCATATTTTCTCATCTGTTAGTTTTAATATGCTTCATCAACCAGGCATTTTGCTTTTCCTATCGCTCTCTCATTTGAAATACAACAAATTTGCATACGTAATTTCCAGGTTGAATAACTATTTTGAATTTTGTGAATGCCCCTCGTATTCGTCAACCCCATTCGGAGGCGCTTGAATTTGGGTCAAAGCATCGGTGGGTGTTCGAAAGTGTGACAGCGGCTTCGCCCCACACCTTTCTTAATGCCATGACATTTACGCTGTCGATACGGGCTGGGATTTTGCACCCTTTTCTCTTGGGTCAACACGAATCTCGGCAACTTACCATCACTTTCTACCATTTATCGAAAGAAAACTGTTATACCAAAAGAGAAATGCGTATACTAAGTGACATATAAATCCGAACACCCAGTTTAAATGGTTTTATTTTAATAAAAGTTGATGAATGTATTTATCTTACTGTAAATAACAAGTGAAAAGATTTTCAGCCTTATCAGTTGGACATTCCGGTTTTTATACTGCTTTTTTTTAATTCAGGAACGCTCTAAAAATGAATATTTCAGCCGCAGTAAAGAATCAACGTTGGCGGATTTTGGTTCTTGACATCCTTTACGTTCGGTTACGATGCCTAGAGTACGGAGACCTGTACGATTTCGTCGTATAGTGGGACTTCGGGAAGCTGGACTTTCTTTTCGGGCAATTGCAGTTAGAGTGAAAAGAAGTGTAGACACTGTGGTTAGGTGTAGTCAGGCATGGCTTCGAGAAGGCCGTACGCAAAGAGCAAGGGGCACTGGACGCCGCCGTAGAACAACAGACCGTGAAGATCGCCGCATAAGATTATTGGCCTTAAGGGACCGTTTCTCCACTACCAGGTCCATTGCAAATGAATGGCCTGCAGAACACGGAAGACCTATTAGCATGCGAAGTGTTTACCGACGAATGAGAAGTTTTGGCTTGTTTTCATACCGGCCACACTGGGTCCTCCCTTTAACTCGAGAACACCGACGTAATCGCCTTGAGTGGTGCAGACAACGGTCACTCTGGGATCAGGAATGGAACAGTATTGTCTTTAGTGACGAGTCTCGATTTTGTTTAGGCATGCACGATGGTCGTGCCAGGGTTAGAAGGCGACGTGGTGAAAGGAGGAATCCACAGTTTTTGTTGAAAGGCATGTTCATCACACTGTTGGAGTTATGGTTTGGGGTGCTATAGCTTATGGTTCCAGGTCACCTTTAATCTTCATCAGAGGTAACATGAACGCGCCGCGTTATATCCACGAAGTTCTAGAACCCCATCTTTTACCCTATCTTGACACCCTGACAGATCCAACTTTCCAACAAGATAATGCCCGACCACATATTGCAAGAGTCACAATAGACTTCTTTCAACAGAATGATGTCACATTGTTACCATGGCCACCAAGATCTTCCGACTTATCCCCAATTGAGCACGTGTGGGATATGATGGGTAGGAGATTGCTCAATTTGCAACGTCCTCCTCAGACTCTAGAATCACTTCGAGAGGAGTTGGTGGTTGCCTGGAATGAGATACCACAGGAGGACATTGACCACCTGATCAGAAGCATGCCTAGGCGCGTTGGAGAATGCGTAGCACATCAGGGTGCATCCACACATTATTAAAGGTCAAAGGGCTTTAAAGCAGTGCAATCACTTTGAAATTTTTATCATTTACTTACATTAAGTACTTATACAAAATTTTATTAAAATAAAACCATTTAAACTGGGTGTTCGGATTTATATGTCACTTAGTATATTTACTGAAACTTAGTGTCCTGGAGTTTCTAAATATTCTACATAAGACGTTCTTCGGGAGTCGAACAGTTGGCAAACCAAGAAGGAAAAGTACATACTATACGATGGCAGTCCGATAAGTACTAGTATAAACTTAACTTCATAAAATGTCGTCTTAATTCTGGAACTAGCATTTAAACAGTTATTTGAAATTGCAATTTACGCCAGAAAACAGATTGTTAAATCTCAATTATTTTACATTCGTCTCCTAGACTTATGATTATCTTTTACGCCAGTTATTATACAGGGTGTTCCTTAATGATATGAGAATATTTAAGGGTGTGAATCTACATGAAAAATTAATGTTAGTTTGCTTCATAAACTATGGTCCAAAAATGTTTCCTTACAAAAAAAAATGGAACTTAATTAATATTTTCAGAACCGCTTCAGATATTTCACTGATATACTAAGTGACATATAAATCCGAACACCCAGTTTAAATGGTTTTATTTTAATAAAATTTTGTATAAGTACTTAATGAAGCATAATAAGTAAATGATAAAAATTTCAAAATGATTGCACTGCTTTAAAGCCCTTTGACCTTTAATAATGTGTGGATGCACCCTGATGTGCTACGCATTCTCCAACGCGCCTAGGCATGCTTCTGATCAGGTGGTCAATGTCCTCCTGTGGTATCTCATTGCAGGCAACCACCAACTCCTCTCGAAGTGCTTCTAGAGTCTGAGGAGGATGTGCTCAATTGGGGATAAGTCGGGAGATCTTGGTGGCCATGGTAACAATGTGACATCATTATGTTGAAAGAAGTCTATTGTGACTCTTGCAACATGTGGTCGGGCATTATCTTGTTGGAAAGTTGGATCTGCCTAGGTGTCAAGATAGGGTAAAAGATGGGGTTCTAGAACTTCGTGGATATAATGCCGCGCGTTCATGTTACCTCTGATGAAGATTAAAGGTGACCTGGAACCATAAGCTATAGCACCCCAAACCATAACTCCAACAATGTGATGAACATGTCTTTTAACAAAAAACTGTGGATTCCTCCTTTCACCACGTCGCCTTCTAACCCTGGCACGACCATCGTGCATGCCTAAACAAAATCGAGACTCGTCACTAAAGACAATACTGTTCCATTCCTGATCCCAGAGTGACCGTTGTCTGCACCACTCAAGGCGATTACGTCGGTGTTCTCGAGTTAAAGGGAGGACCCAGTGTGGCCGGTATGAAAACAAGCCAAAACTTCTCATTCGTCGGTTAACACTTCGCATGCCAATAGGTCTTCCGTGTTCTGCAAACCATTCATTTGCAATGGACCTGGTAGTGGAGAAACGGTCCCTTAAGGCCAATAATCTTAGGCGGCGATCTTCACGGTCTGTTGTTCTACTGCGGCGTCCAGTGCCCCTTGCTCTTTGCGTACGGCCTTCTCGAAGCCATGCCTGACAACACCTAACCACAGTGTCTACACTTCTTTGCACTCTAACTGCAATTGCCCGAAAAGAAAGTCCAGCTTCCCGAAGTCCCACTATACCTCCCCTATCAAACTCACTAAGTTGACGAAATCGTACAGGTCTCCGTACTCTAGGCATCGTAACCGATCGTAAAGGATGTCAAGAACCAAAATCCGCCAACGTTGATTCTTTACTGCGGCTGAAATATTCATTTTTAGAGCGTTAGTGAATTAAAAAAAAGCAGTATAAAAACCGGAATGTCCAACTGATAAGGCTGAAAGTTTTTTCACTTGTCATTTACAGTATGATAAATACATTCACCAACTTTTATTAAAATAAAACCATTTAAACTGGGTGTTCGGATTTATATGTCACTTAGTATATTTAGTACGTAGTGAAAGTTAATAAAGTTTTTCAATGCAAAAATAATTTGTAGCTTTAACGGGGCTCCTACAATCACGAACACCATCTGCTAAGATAACGGGGGGGTGAAAAGGCCTTAGACTGTCGTCGGCGCTACTTTAAAAGAGGAAAGGATGACTGCAGGTGCATACTGAGGTAAATTTTTATAACAACAGAGTCGGATTTTGATTAGCTATCTAGCCTGTAAATCGTTTCCTATTTTGGTACTCAGCAAGTGATCATTTAGTATTGTTCTACCCTTGTTACTGTTCGTCGATATTGTGCTGTACTCTTGTTGGTGTGATTGTTCGTGAGTGCCTTTTTTATCAAGGTTGATAATGGACATTAAAAGGTCATATGCGACAGTTTTAATTACGACTGCAGTGACTTTAATTCATGATGAGGACAATAGTGTGGAGCAGTTCAACTCTATAATCGCAAAATACATTGGGGTAAGCGAATAAATTATTGCAAGAAGAGGTCATACCGTGGAAGATGTGCTGCAGATGTAGTGAGCCACAATACCGAGCGACCTGTCTATGTGGTCCAAATAAATTTGTGTTCTAAGCTTAGTCCAACCTCACTTATCACTAAGATGGAACAAAGACTCAAACGCAAGAATCTTGAAAAGAAACTCAAACCAAAAAAAGCTGATATAAAAATAACTAACAATTCGGATAGCAATTCCAAAGAAAATGAATAGTTTTATGGCGAATTCTCTCAAAAACCTGACATGAACGACATTGATTTGGAGGTTGCTAAGCAAGAAGTTTTAGGGAAACTTAGAAAAAGTGACGACGAGATTTTGCAGATCTAACAAGTCACCAAATCACAGGACTGTACTTTGTGGCGTCTTCAGCGGAGGATAAGGTTGACACCGTCTCGATTTGGTGAAGTTTGTGGAAGAAGGCAGACAACAAGTTATAAAGTTCTAGTAAACTCCATCATATACCCAACAGATTTTTCTAGTAAGGCAATAAAAAAAAGGCAATACAAACATCATTGGACACGTCAGTTCAATCTTGTAGTTTGTTTATTGATCGCACACATCAATTTCTGGCAGCTCACCTCCATCCACGCACAAGAATTTATTCTTCTGTGGGTAAATTCAGTTGATTTACATATACCT